TGAAACCCGCTCAAATAAAATAAGCAGGTTCATGACTCTCTCTGATTGGCTGAGCTCTCAGACTTTGAGTAATCACTCAGCTCTTGCTCTGATTGGCTGAGCTCTCAGATTTTGATGATTGACAGCTCAGTGCTCGTTCTGATTGGTCAAGCTTTCAGACTTAACGACTGACAGCTCAGCTCTTGCTCTGATTGGCCGAGCTCTCAGTCTTTAATGATTGATAACTCAGCACTTGTTCTGATTGGCTGAGCTCTCAGACTTTGATGGTTGACAGCTCAGCTCATGCTCTGATTGGCCAGAGCTCTCAGACTTCAATGATTGACAGCTCAGCCCATGCTCTGATTGGCCAGAGCTCTCAGACTTCAATGATTGACAGCTCAGCTCATTCTCTGATTGGCCAGAGCTCTCAGACTTCAATGATTGACAGCTCAGCTCATGCTCTGATTGGCCAGAGCTCTCAGACTTCAATGATTGACAGCTCAGCTCATTCTCTGATTGGCCAGAGCTCTCAGACTTCAATGATTGACAGCTCAGCTCATGCTCTGATTGGCCAGAGCTCTCAGACTTTAGTGATTGACAGCTCAGCTCATGCTCTGATTGGCCAGAGCTCTCAGACTTCAATGATTGACAGCTCAGCTCTTGCTCTGATTGGCCGAGCTCTCAGTCTTTAATGATTGATAACTCAGCACTTGTTCTGATTGGCTGAGCTCTCAGACTTAAGTGATTGACAGCTCAGCTCATGCTCTGATTGGCCAGAGTTCTCAGACTTCAGTGATTGACAGCTCAGCTCATGCTCTGATTGGCCAGAGCTCTCAGACTTCAATGATTGACAGCTCAGCCCATGCTCTGATTGGCCAGAGCTCTCAGACTTCAATGATTGACAGCTCAGCTCATGCTCTGATTGGCCAGAGCTCTCAGCCTTCAGCCAAGGAACATTCCCCGTGTGTTCAGTTCAGTTTTCTCTCTGCTTTTGTATTTGATCTCTGGAGAGGTTTTGTTTCCACTGTAAGACTCAGGAAAATCACACTGTTGCTGTTTGTTTGTTTGTGTATCTTCTTCTCCATCAGACGTTAGGATTGTTTGTGCTGTACAGTAGATGAAGCGTTCTGTCCTGTTGTGTTGATCTTCATCTCTCGTTGGGTTTGTTCTGTTTGTTTGTCAGATTATCGGGAGCTGAGTGGGACTTTCTTTCTTTTATTGTGATTTTATTATTATTTGTTTCTTGTACGTTTAGCATCGTTACAGATCAAATAAAACACGCAGGTTCACAACTCTCGGCTTTATGTCACATTTATTTATTCATTCATGTAAACCACATTCAATTAATTCAGGGGTTTTCAAGCAGGAGATAAAATAAACGTGAATTAATTTTAGACATTGATGTGCTGATTTTTTAAGTGTTTATTCTCAACATTTGATATTTTAGACATTTTTTTCACAAATTAACAAGTTTTTCTTTGACAAATTACCCAGAAAATTATAACTTTTAGCAGAATTTAATGACTTTATTCTATTCTAACATTATAAATAAAAATCAACACGTGTTACCTTGAAATATTCATACTTTTCTTAGTTTATTTTCAAGTTCAAAGTTTTTTTTTTTTTAAATAACAATTCTCAGAATTAAATGTTTTTATTTCCTCAATATTTTATTTCTGCATTTGTCTGAACATTCAGAAAATCACACCTTTGCTGAAGTTTTTAAAATTATTTGAAGCAGAATCACTTTTAGTATCATCATGTTATTCTGAGCAATGCTTTAACATAAATAAAACAATAAATACTTTATTTTTGACAGATTCATCAGTTACACTGAATGATGATCCACATTATTTCAGCAACATTTACATGCATATAATGTGCTTTCGTTTTACCAAAAACAAACATGTTGTAGTGTCTGGTTGGTTAAATGACATTAATTGCAAAAAGACAGAAAACTTCACTTACAGTTGGTCAGAATTATTCGCCCCCCTTTATTTTTTTCCCCAATTTCTGTTTAACTGAGAGCAGATTTCTTCAGCACATTTGTAATCGTAACAGTTTAATAAATCATCTCTAATTACTGATGTATTTTCTCTTTGCTATGATGACAATAAATAATATTAGACTAGATATTCTTCATGACACTTCTAAACAGCTTAAAGTGACATTTAAAGGCTTCACTAGGGTAATTAGGTGTAATCCCGCCAGACCTACCCACCACCCAACCCGCTCCGAGCTGGTATCAAACCTGCAATCTTCCGCATGGGAGTCAGTTGCTCTACCAAGGAGGCTAAAGACCATATCCTTTAACATTAGTCGCTAGAGCACCTTTAGAGGTCAGAGGAGTGAGGTTTACCTGTATAGCACTTACTAGCCGGCCTCCGTTACATAGGCAAGTTATTATATAATGATGGTTTGTTCTGTAGACTACTGAAAATATATATATATATATATAGCTTAAATGGGGTTAATAATATTGACCTTAACATGGTGGTTAAAAAAAAAATAATAAAGCTGTTTTTATTCTAGCCTAAATAAGACTTTCTCCAGAAGATAAAACAATATTATCAGACATACTGTGAAAATGTCCTTGCTCTGATAAACATCATTTGGGAAATATAAAAGTAAAATAATAATAATAATTCAAAAGGGGGGCTAATAATTCTGACCAGCTGTATGTATTCAGATGTCCCTATATGCTTAAGAAAATGGTTATTAGCGATGAAAGTGTAAGAAGAAGGAGAGGCACCTCCGACAGAGAGCCCGAAGGACAAGCGGACTGTCTGCCAGTAATGTGGAAACTCTTTCTGCAATAGATGAGCTCATTGTCCAGCTGAGAAGCATGACGTAAGAATGACCCTGAGATTGGCCAAAGGTTGATTTATACGTTTAGTGATATTCTCTGTTGAGCTTTTCCTGAGGTAGCTGTTTCCAAAAGCTTTCTGATGTAGTCTAAAGCAGCTTTTTTATATTTATGCATGAAGGTTATAAAAGGCTGGAATTTACAGACCTGCATTGAGCTCTCTGACCTCTATATTGAATATCTTAAGCCCTTTATTTTTGAACAGATGATAAAGGATTTTGTTTTGTTGTTATTCTTATTTTCCACTGGATTTGATTTTATAAAGTGTGTTTAATTAATTTTCTTCACTGGAGTGAACATTGGCTTCATTTGCAGAATCCATCATTACCCTGTGTGGAAAAGTAAAAATATTTTTTTTTCCTTGAACAACATTTCAAAGGATGGTCCTAAACTAACCTCTAGCTGAGAAATAAAGCCAAGGGAGGATTCTGCTGTCTTTATTAAATTTAAGATAGGGCATCCAGAATGTAGAACAAATAAAACAATTGAATATGATGGCAGTGGCGCAGTAGGCAGTGCTGTCGCCTCACAGCAAGAAGGTTGCTGGGTCGCTGGTTCGAACCTCAGCTCAGTTGGCGTTTTTGTGTGGAGTTTGCATGTTCTCCCTGCCTTTGTGTGGGTTTCCTCCAGCTGCTCTGGTTTCCCCCACAGTCCAAAGACATGCGGTACAGGTGAATTGGGAAGGCTAAATTGTCCGTAGTGTGTGTGTGTGTGTATGTGTGTGGATGTTTCCCAGAGATGGGTTGCAGCTGGAAGGGCATCCGCTGTGTAAAAAAACTTGCTGGATAAGTTGGCGGTTCATTCCGCTGTGGGGACCCCAGATTAATAAAGGGACTAAGCCGACAAGAGAATGAATGAATGAATATGATTGCATGAGAATAAACACAGAGACGCTTGTTTGTAGAATATCTTTACTAATGTAGTGAAGTGTTGCACTGGCAGATTTTTCACTTGTTTTCATGCATGAAGTGAAAAACAGGTCAGACAGTTCTTCATTTATAATGCACTTTATTTTATTTTGGAAGAAAAGGGTTCAGATTTTTTAAACAACTGTAATTTATTTCCAGTGGATTGATAAACCTGATATTAACTAAAAGCTGTCATGGTTCACAATAAGTGATAAACGGCCTGAACACAGGGGCCAGATCCTGGATCATTTAAAGGGTTAGTTCACACAAATATCTAAATCATTTCTGCATGGTATGAAGGACCATGAACTCCAGGTGTATTTGATTAAAGTCCTGCTTAAAGTGTTGTGGTCACGGACCAAAAAATAATAGGCACAAATCAAACATTTAAATATTTACATTTTTGAGGTTTCATTATTTGACTATTGGAAAACAAAACTGTACATATACTGCTGTATAGCTTGGGTAAAGTAGAAATAATAACTGATAATTGTATGTAGGCGATGCAGTGGCGCAGTAGGTAGTGCTGTCACCTCACAGCAAGAAGGTCACTGGTTTGAGTCTCGGCTGGGTCTGTTTGCGTTTGTGTGGAGTTTGCATGTTCTCCCCGTGTTGGTGTGGGTTTCCTCCGGGTGCTCCGGTTTCCCCCACAGTCCAAACACATGCGCTATAGGGGAACTGGGTAGGCTAAATTGTCTGTAGTGTATATGTATGAATGAGAGTGTATGGGTGTTTCCCAGAGATGGGTTGTTGCTGGAAGGGCATCCGCTGTGTAAAACATATGCTGGATAAGTTGGCGGTTCATTCCGCTGAGGCGACCCCAGATTAATAAAGGGACTAAGCTGAAAAGAGAATGAATGAATGAATTGTCTGTAATTTTCTGAACAATCTAACTTTGTTTACTGTGGGGTTGTTTTGAGGGTGGAGTATGGGAGGCCATATTGGCGAGCAGAATGTAAACAAAGCCACAGATCTGAACAAAACTCAGATATTCAGCTGATTATTCCTGCTAAAAATGATCAATTATTATCATGTTTTGGGCTGAACTCATCGATCAGACTGAAGTAAGAACATTTAGAGGACTATAGACTGCTTTCCAGAGCACGAATCTGGACAACATTCATGTTTGCTCATCATTTCTGCTCAAATAGGTGCAATAGGTGCAAAATTTAGCACCCTTTCCTGCTTACTAATTCCTCTGTAAGATTTACAGATAGATTATCTGTTAGTTTTTTTTTTTTTATCTCCGTTTAGACAGGATGAAGATATTTCTCATAATGAATAATTGTCCAAATATGGAAACAATAATTGAATGAATTACGAATAATTGATGACCTAAATGTGATTGATTTAAAGGTGCAGTATGTAAGTTTGACACACAGTGGATGAATGAGGTATTGCACTCCTGGATCAAGACATATTTTCACTCGGCCTAAAGGCTGATTTAAGGCTGATTTGAACTTCAGAACTGAGACTATTATTCAATCCGTGACCGCAATACTTTTGGTGGGAGTCTAATCTCATGCATGTGTTTTCAGCGTTATCCGCTGGCCTCTAGAGGTCGCTCTCTCCGTACAGTGCAGTGGAGAACGCAGCGTAATCCAGAGCTCCAGGAACAGCGTCAGGTCCTTTATATGGAGGCATCCTGGAGATGCAGTATTCAGCCTGCTCTGGAGGAAGCTCACGCCGCAGCTCGTCCACCAGAATATACGGCTGAAACACACACACACACATTGGGACACATGTGCATGCTAGGATAATGACAGTAGTGGAATTACCTACTGCTATAAAGTCTAGAAGGGATACAGCTGCAGATATGCACATCAATATTGCATCATTTTTGATAATTCATATTTTTACATTACTGTGAGGGTTTGGGGTAGACGTTAAAAAATACAATTAATGAGAAGTTTAATAAATAATATAAATAATTCTTTCTAACTTCCAGCCACAACCATATCTGTTCTAGCGACAACTGCAGTACTTAACTTCCGCCTTTCTGTTTGTTTCTTTATTTTAATTAATTATTTTTATTGTGCAATGTGTACAAACACAACAACTTTCAAAAAATAAAACAAAATACACTGCTCAGAAAAATAAAGGGAGCACGTGGAGTTACATTGTGTTGTTTATTTTTCTGAGCAGTATATATGACCTATATTCACTGAGAAATTGATAAAAATATATTAATTTTCAAAATGGGGTGTGCTCAATAATGCTGAGCACTGTACATATTCTATTATTTGGTGTCTTAAGATGTTCTGTAAGTGTTTAATGTACATTTAACGTGTGTGTGTGAACTGACCTTATCGGCGGCCAGAATCCTGAAGGAGGCAACGACCTGCTCTGACGTGTCCGATTCTCCAGTTTCACGGGTCATAAAGTCCACAAACGCCTGAAACGTCACCACTCCAGAACCATTGGGGTCCACCAGAGCCATGATGCGCGCAAACTCTGCTTCACCCTTAAACACACACACAGGACACAGAGACAAGAAATACCATCGTCCTCTGACATAAAACCTTCTCAAAGTCATCAACACACATTTTTCTTTTGAAATTTTAATCAGACATGCTCAGAATATGAAGTTGAAGTCAAAATTATTAGGCCCCTGTATATTTTCCCCAATATCAGTAAGATTTCTTCAACACATTCCTAATCATAATAGTGTTAATAACTCATCTCTAATAAGATTTATTTTCTCTTCTCCATGATGACAGCACATAATATTAGACTAGATATTCTTCAAGACACTAGTGTTCAGCTTACAGTGACATGTAAAGGCTTCACTAGGGTAATTAGGGTAAAGTTAGGGTAATTAGGCAAGTCATTGTATAACAGTGGTTTGTTCTGGAGACAATCCAACACTAATATTGCTGAAGGGGCCAATAATATTGAGCTTAAAACAATTAAAACTGCTTTTATTCTAGCCGAAATAAAACAAATAAGACTTTCTCCAGAAGAACAAATATTGTTATGTTATAATTTTATGTCAATTTTATTTTGTGTTATTATTAATATTATTATTATTATTATTATTATTATTATCATTATTACTATTATTACCATCATCATTATTATTATTAATATCATTATTTTTATTATTATTATCATTATTTTTTATTATTATTATCATTATTATTATCATCATCATCATTATTTTTATTATTATTATTATCATTATTATTAATATCATTATTATTGTTGTTATTATTATTATTATTAATAATAACATTACTATTATTATTATTATCATTATTATTATTATTTTTGTTAATAACATTATTATTATTATTATCATTATTACTATTATTACCATCATCATTATTATTATTAATATCATTATTTTTATTATTATTATCATTATTTTATTATTATTATCATTATTATTATCATCATTATTTTTATTATTATTATTATCATTATTATTGTTATTATTATTATTATTATTATTATTATTATTATTATTATGTACTGTGGTAGTTTTTACCAGATCATATCCCATAGAGATCAGACAGGCTCTGAAGTCATCAGTCTCCATACCGCCCTTCTTCTTCTGTTGAACACACGAAACACACACGATCATGTTTAATAAGAGTACATTTACAGTCATCCTAGCACTTTTATCTGGAGTGACTTACAAAAGCAGTCTGTCAGAGAGCCAGCAATGTAATAAAAACAGTCCTGTACAATGCATATACACACCGTACCACAGCACTAACTACACATTACATATCTTTACTCATTTTCTGACAAGATGCTTGACTCAGTGTAGTTTAAAAGGAAATGGAGCAAATCTAGATATCATTGAAAACCCTCAATTAACAGCTGATCGTTTTATTTTTGGCATCTCCAATGAAAAAAATACTGTAGTAAATTATAGTAAACACTACAATGTTTATGAACCGTATTGTAGTAACGTACTTGAATTAATCTGTTGTGTTGATTCTACAGTTGCTATGGTAACATGACAACTATAACTAGATTCTTAAAGTTTAAGGACAAATTTTGAGGCTGGCTTGTAAACGCCTGATGGTAATAGTTTATTAAGTTTAAACAGTTTTAAAAAATATGAAAAGATAGATAGATAGATAGATAGATAGATAGATAGATAGATAGATAGATAGATTAGCATGTTATTAGCATGATTCTAGCATGAATTAGCATGTTACTAGCATGATTCTTGCATGAAATAGCATGTTATTAGCATGATTCTAACATGAATTAGCATGATATTAGCATGATTCTAGCATGAATTAGCATGTTACTAGCATGATTCTATCATAAATTAGCATGTTACTAGCATGATTCTAGTACGAATTAGCATGTTACTAGCATGATTCTAGCATGAATTAGCATGCTATTAGCATGTTTCTAGTATGAATTAGCATGTCACTAGCATGATTCTAGCATGAATTAGCATGCTATTAGCATGATTCTATCATGAATTAGCATGTTACTAGCATGATTCTAGCATGTCACTAGCATGTTATTAGCATGATTCTAGCATGAATCAGCATGTTGTTAGCATGATTCTAGCATGACTTTGCATGTTACTAGCATGATAGATAGATGGTAGTCTTTGGTAGTCTGAGTTAAATCAGCCCAGTTAGAAGTCTGTACAACAGTCTGATGTAGAGTTATGAGCTCACAAAGTTTGACCCAATGTAAAGTCAATAAGAGTCTTTTGCAGTGGAAGTCTATGGGACAGTTTCTAGGGTCATAAAAGTGGTTGCTAGGGTTCGGCCAGAAAGTTAAAAGCTCATCGGTTATTGGCAGTTAGGTAGTCTGAGTTAAATGAGCCCACTTAGAAGTCTGTAGGACAGTCTGATGCAGAGTTATGAGGTTACAAAGTTTGTTCCAATGTTAAGTCAATGGGATTTTTCCGACGGTCCCGGGACGTTTTTCGGAAAACCAAAAGTCGGATCACTTGGAAAAGATATAGCAACCCGAGTCAGACCAGTTTGGAGGTCTGGTGTGAGTTTGGTGGTCGTAGCTCGAAAGCTCTAGGAGGAGATAGAGTTTAATTTTTAGTCTCAAAAGAAAAATAGGATAACAATAGTCTGGCTTGCTACACAAGCCAGCCTAATAACTGATC